CCACTGGTCCTCCTGCCTGAAAGAGGAGTCTCCCCTCCTCCTTGCCCATCCAACGACTTCCCACTCCCAGGGGCTCGGCTGTTCACCTCCTCCTCCAGGAAGCCTTCTTTCGTAACCCTCCCCAGCCTGAGCAAACTTTCCCTCCTCAGGACACCCGTGATACTTCTTATCTGTGCGTCTTCTGGAGCAGCTATAATAGGCAACTAGTTATGACTGACTGTGTACAGCCAGACTAGAAGAAACTTAAAATCCTACACTAGGTCATGAGTGTTTACTTCCCTTCCAGTGACAGGCCAGAGGTGTATGCACTGTAGCTGCTCCAAACAGTTAATATTTCTGGTGACCATACTGGCTGATTTCTTCAATTTTCCTCTCTTTTCCAAGAAAAGAAAGGAAGGGAACATGCTATGAGCTCCTATTGTGTTCTAAGTACCAGTGCAGACCCGATCACTCAGAGTGTATATTGTTTAATTTAAACTTTGCAGCCACCTGGTGAGGCGGGTATTATAATTCCTATTTTAAAGATCGGGAGACTGAGGGTCTGAGATTTAAGCCAGTGGCTGAGGCACTCAGCTAGCGAGTGGAAGAGCTGAGACTCTAATGGAAATGGGTCTGTTGGGGTAGTAAGTCTCCAAAGTTGGCCCCAAAGGCCTTACACAGCCCAGATCCCATATTCACACTGCGGTGTGGCCCCTCCCTGCCCCACAGTTTGTGCTAACCAGGAGAAGTCAGGGGAAGCGAAGCTATGCCAGTTCCGGCTTCAGCCTTAAAGGAGACTGGCAGCTTCTGGTTTCTCTTGCCTGAGACGCTCACTTTTGGGGACCTTTTGCTGCCATGAAAGAAATCCAGCTATCCTGCTGGAGAGATCTCATGGAGAAGGTCAAGGACAGGTCCTGAGGCCACATGGAGAAAAGAGGCCCAGGCCCAGCCCTCCTCGAGTCGCAGTCAACTGCCACCTGACTCGTGACCACATCAATGAAAGCAGAAGAGCTGATTGGCAGAGACCAGTCAACCACAGAGCTGAGTGCACAGAACCCACAGACATAATACGGCTGTTGTTTGAAGCCACTGAGTCTTAGAGTGACTTGTGACACAGCAATGAATGACCAAAACTCTTGTGTAAGATAGCAACTTCCTTTCATATTCCCATTGCCCCGTCCTTTTATGCACTGGTCGGTTTTTGTCCTATTTTAAGGCAGCAAATACATTTTAGAAGCTGTGGAACACCTACTTTTGCTCTCATATCTACTGTTTTCCACAACCAGCAGCTTCAAAAACTGGGCAGCGTTACTGGACAGTGGAGAAGAACATGCACTGACCAGCTGCTGACCTTGATCAAATTCCTCCACGTCTCTGAGGCTGTAAAAATAAGACTGCTAATGACTCTCTCCACAGGATTAAAGATGGTTAATAAGACACTTAGCACGCTACTTGGCATGCGTCAAGCATCCAGTGAATGGTGTTTATCAGAGCCTGGAGGACCAGCCAGGAAACAGCTCCTACTGGCGACACATTCCTTGTCCCACTCTTCCCATATCAGCAAAGACAGGGAAAGCAGGGGTCGGACTTTCGAGATTCCAGAGCAATGTCAGAGCCTCTTGGGAAAGAACAGCTGCTTCTTGTTATCTCTGTTTATAAAGAGGGAGGACGGATGTTTGACATAAAAGCAGTTCCGTAAATCACTGCACTGCACTGCCTCTAAATGCCTTGGGAACTAGATGTCCTTTGGGATATGCAGACTCAGCCCCCCAAACAGAAGGAACATCACGAGAGCCCAAGGAGGCAGAGACTGACTCTTATTAATCACCTCTGTGTCCTCAGAACTTGGCATGTAGTCGGTGTAAGTCCCAAGAAGGCACAGAATTATTTTTCTGTTTTGTTCACTGCTGTATTTCCAACACATAGTAGGAAAATTGGTTATCTTCCTTGAGTTTTCTCATCCCCAAAACACTGCTAAGAACACCCGTCTCACAGGATTATGTAAGGCCAGCGCAAGCCGGTACATGCTGAGTGCTTCACAAAGCACTAGGCTCAGCGCATGTTCTCGATGGATGGGGGCCATTGCTTTTCTGAATATACAAAATGGACAAGAGAGGAGAGCATGGTCATGGCTTCACTTATATAATGTGACTATAATCCTCGCAACAAACCCTGTGACACAGCATTGCCAACCCGTTTTGCAGAATAAATTGATGTTCAGCAGGGTCATGTGACAAGTCACAGTTTTTAAATCATAGGGCTGAGCCCCCAGCCCAGGTCTTCTGATCCCTATAAGCTCTGAGCTCTTCTCTTTTGCACCAGAGCTGCCACGCCTGCTGGTGCAATTTTTTCCCGAGCCCTCAGTGTACGCCACACATGCTCCTTTAATCCTCACAAGGACTTGGCGTTCACAATCTAGGAATAAATAACCCTGTCATGAATACACATGTCTAGACCAAGCAGCAGAATTAACTGGCAAGTTATTGTGGGTCTGAATGGAAAACGTGGGTCAAAGGGAAGTGCCTGCTGAGACAACGGGGAAGAAAGGGCCACAACAGTAAGTGTTTGGGGGCGGGGCTTTTGCTAGACCCTTGATTTTCAATACTCTTGAGATTGTGATATCATTATACCTCCATTTTACAGATAAGGAAATGGAGGCTCAAAGAGGATAAGTAACATACCCCAGACACAGAAAAGGGAGGAATGTGAATCTAGCATCAACTCAAACACATAGCATCTCAGCACCTGCTGGAATCACGTGGAGACAGTTTAAGCCTACTGAGGGCTGAGATGTACCTTCAGAGAGTCTGAATCAATGGATCTGGAATGGGACCTGGCTCTGGTACTTTTAAAGCTCCCAACCAGGTGACTGGAATGTGTGGCCAGGGTGGAGCAATGCTGGCTGGGCTGCTCTCAGGGCTCTGAGCTCTGAGAGGCTGGAACAGTCCAAGCCCAGCCCTGACACCAACTATACCTCGCTGGCTGCTTAAAGGCCACACCATCAGCTTTCCTCACTCCACCCAGAGAATGGCTGGTTCTGGCTTTTTTTTTTCAGTTGGGGGAGGTAATTAGGTTTTATTTTTAGAGGAGGTACTGGGGATTGAACCCAGGACCTACTGCATGCTAAGCGTGCACTCTAACACTTTGAGCTATACCCTCCCCCTGGCTGGTTCTTTCTTAAACCAACATGAGCCAACTCATGTTAACTCATCACCAGACATTCATAGCAATTTGAATATGGATTTTAGGTAATGGCATCACATGGGGAACCCCCAAATCCAGTACAGGCACTGTTTCTCCCTCTTGATGGGCCAGAAAGTTGGAGCTGAAGTTTGTCGTTTACTATTCCTTATGATTCCTGAGTAGAGTTTTTGGTTCCCTGTATTTATTGTTTTCTTTTTTTTTATTGAAGTATAGTTGATTTACAGTGTTGTGTTAGTTTCTGGTGTACAGCATAGTGATTCCGTTATACATTTATATTCTTTTTAATATTCTTTTTCATTATAATTTATTACAAGGTATTGAATATAGTTCCCTGTGCTATACAGTAGGACATGTTTTTCATCTATTCTGTATATAGTAGTTTGTATTTGCTAATCCCAAACTCCTAATTTATCCCTCCTCCTCTTTCATCTTTGGTAATTTTGTTTTTTATGTCTGTGAGTTTGTTTCTGTTTTGTAAATAAGTTCATTTTTATAATTTTTTTTTAGATCCCACACATAAGTGATACCATGTGATGTCAGTCTTTGTCTGACTTCATTTAGTATGAAAATCTCTAGGTCCATCCATGTTGCTGCAAATGGCATTATTTCATTCTTTTTTATGACTGAATAGCATTCCATTATATGTATATATACTACATCTTTATTCGGTCATCTGTTAATGGACATTCAGGTTGCTTCTATGTCTTGGCTATTGTAAATAGTGCTGCTATGAACATTAGGGTGCATGTATCTTTTTTTAAAATTTTTAGGGGGAGAAGTTATTAAGTTTATTTACTTACTTACTTACTTATTTTAATGGAGGTACTGGGGATTGAACCCAGGACCTTGTACATGCTAAGCACGTGCTCTACCACTGAGATTTACCCTCCTACCACATGTATCTTTTTGAATTAGAGTTTTCTCTGGGTATGCCCAGGAGTGGGATTACTGAATCTTATGGTGACCTATATTTAGTTTTTTAAGGAATCTCCATACTTTTTCCCATAGTGGATGCACCAAATTACATTCCATTCAGCAGTGTAGGAGGGTTTCCCTTTTCTCCATACCCCCTCCAGCATTTATCATTTGTGGACTTTTTACTGATGGCCATTCTGACTGGTGTAAGGTGATACCTCATTATAGTTTTGATTTGCATTTCTTTGATAATTAGCAACATTGAGCATCTTTTCATGTGTGTATTGGCCATCTATATGTCTTCTTTGGAGAAATGTTTATTTGGGTCTTCTGCCCATTTTTGGATTGGCTTGTTTGTTTTTTGTTATTGAGTTACATAAACTGTGTATTTTGGAAATTAAGCTCTTGTCAGTTGCTTTCTCCCAGTGTGTAGACTGTCTTTTCATTTTGTTTATAGTTTCCTTCACTGTACAAAAGCTTGTAAGTTTGATTAGGTCCCATTTGTTTATTTTTGCTTTTATTTCTATTGCCTTGGTAGATTAACCTAGGAAAACATTACTACATTGTATCTGTATTTATTGGTCAAATGGGTATATGAAACATTTATGTTTACTTCTCCAAAAAATGATATATAATGAATTAAGTTGCTCATTACATATGATTTTTTTCTTGGAGGGGAAGTAAGCTCAGGGACCTTTATTCAAAACAAAACAAAACACCTATCCCATCTCTGCCGAGTAAGTTACCATGCTGTACAGCAAGAATTCACATGGTTGATGTGCTCTGTGCTCCCCTAAGTCCAGGTGTCCTCGATGGTCCTGACAGTCTCTCTTCTGATCTTAAATATCTCCACCTGCTGGACTGGATTATGTCAGCTTGCATACCTAAGCAGAATGCAGCGTTAAATGATCCCGCCAGTTTAAACCCAGCAAAAAAGTAGCTTTTCTTGGTTAATCCAAAAGTGGAACTGGAAAAGGAGAGTTGGGGACACACAGGATTAAAGATTAGCTGGGACAGATGGCTGGGGAATTGACCTTTGACCAAACATAAATAAGGCCAGCTCAGCTTTCCCCATGTGTGTGAAGAGATACCCGGCCCTCAAAGAGGGGAAAGCAAAGGGAGAAGCAAGTGGCATTCGGAGGGCAGGAGATGTAAATGAGGGAAGCTGCAGGAGAGCAGGAAGGAAAGAAAAGGAGGAGCCAAGAGCAGTCGCCTTGGACACAGAAGCATCTGTGCACTGTTAACAGCGCTCTCGCTCGGAGGCCCCTGCGATGGATATAATATTTGGCAGAAATAAGAAGGAGCAACGGGAGCCTGTGAGGGCCACAGTGACAGGTGAGCGTTTTGTATAAACGATGGGTTCTTCTTATATGTTTACATGTACACTTTTTCCCTCTGTTTATAAAAGTAATGTTTATTGTAAATTATTTTTGGAAAATCTGGAAAATGGTATATAGATGGGAAAAATGACCTATAATCCAGACATACTCTCTTTGAAAATCTGGGTGTGCTTTTATGCATTGTAACTCAGTTTCCAAGGAGAGAGAGTCCGTGGTTCTATTACCAGGAGACAAGTCCCAGGACTGCTGCGGTTGGCATTGGGACAATGGGATTCTTCCGCGAATTGTGACCCTTTCGGAGTGCTTGATGTATTTGTGTAAACATGTGCACCCCGAGTTAATTTCAAAATAATACGAGAAGCGTGTGTGAGCGCCCACTCCTGCACGTGCGCTCTGGGGGGCCTCGCGGAGCCCGATGTGATTTCCTCCAAGGTCGCGTTTCAGGATGCGAGTTACCTGCAGAGCCAATGAAGCGGGCTCAGGTGGGAGCCTCTGCAGGAACCTTCCTTTAGCGGGCTTTCCCTGCTCTTCTGTGTGGCCTCTTTCCTGGGACCATCTTGTTTACACTCTACGGGGCAGTGAATGGGTCCAAACTCTCTGGTCCGGCAGTGGCGCTGAGAACCGTGAGCGGGTTGGCAGTTTTCAGCTTGGGGTAGGTAGATAGTTTTCACAAGGAAAGGACAGCGGTGCCTTTCGTGAGGCATATCAGATTGGAGGTTTTCAGCTGAGGAATTGCTTTGGAAGGCTTCTGAAAGAAAAATAATAGCTTTTATGTGTGTTTTTTTTTCTGACTACAGAGGTAATCAGAAATCTGTATGTGTGTGTAGCACATATATATAAAACTTGCCATTGAGAGAACACAGAGGGAAATAAAAATCAGCTGTATTTCCATCTCTTAAGCCCTATTAACTATTTAAAAACTTCTGTCATTTTATTTTTTTCGAATAGGTTTATTTATTTACTTAATTTGTGGAGGGGAGTAATTAGGTTTATTTAGTTTTAGAGGAGGTATTGGGGATTGAATCCAGGACCTCCTGCAATGCTAAGTATGCACTCTGTCACTTCAGCTGTACCCTCCCCACTGTCATTTTATTATTTGAAGGGAAATTAATGAGCTTATAGAAAATTTAATCCTCTGAACATTTAAAGGGGGAGCACGTGTGTGTTCTTTATTCTGTAGTTCTTTTTTTTTTCAGTTGAAGTATAGGTGATTTACAGTGTTGTGTTGGTTTCAAGTGTATAGCACTGTGATTCAGTTATAGGTATGTATTTATTTCAGATTCTTTCCCATTACAGATATTAGAGGATATTAAATATAGTTGCCTGAAGCACTATTAATATTTGGGCCTATTTTCTTCAAGTTTTTAAAACATACATAAATATGGATAGTACAAAGATAGACTGATCTGTCAATAGATAGACTTTATACATAAATATTTTTTCAAAAAACAAATGTCCATTTACTATTAATTTTTTATTCTTAAAAAAGGGGTCCACAATGTCTATCCTTTTATACTCTGGGGTACCACAAACATTTTGCCATTATACTCCCTTTACACCTCGTGTTTCGTGACTGGATGGAAGTGCTTGGAAATCGTAGAAAAGAAGGATCCTAGGACCTGAGATGCTGAAGGGAGTTCTCGATCTGGATGAGCTGTTCTAAGAGGATGGTCCCCAGACCTGCAGCATCAGCTTCCGTTGGGCTGTTGTTAGGATCAGATTCTTGGGCCCACTTCAGACCCACAGGATCAGATACTCTTGGAGTGAAGCCCAGACACCTGTGTTTTCACAAACCCTCTGGCTGAGTCCAAGTCGGGGAACCACTGCTGTAAATGATACCTCCCTACTTGACATGTGTGAAGCTGAGGGCCATGGAGGAGCAGCAACTCGCCCAACACCTGTTGGCCAGCAGGGGATGGGCTCCAGCCTCCAGCAGGCCTTCAGCCCCAGGTCAAGTCTAATCAGCTGGTCAGCATCCACTGGCAGACAGCTCACCAAACGTTGTGCCTGTGGGGACATGTCTGTCCCGGGAGGCCAGGCCAAGTCTCTGGCTTCATGTCTAGCTGTGCATTCTCCGCTCTGAGGCCCCCTTGGCAAGTTACTTAAGCATTTCCTGCCTCAGTTTCCTCTGTGTCTGATAAAGCCAGCATGTACCTACCTCACGGGGTTGCTGCAGTGACTCAGTGATTTACTCCACCTGCAACACAGTACCTGGCACATCCTGCTCAATAAATTTTCTTATCCATGCTCAGATTCCCCCCTCCCTGCTCTGCCTCAACCTGCTCCTTCTGTGTCCTGGGTTTCTGTGAATAGTCTCACCCAAGGCAGGAGACTGGGCTGACCTTTTTGCATGCTCCCCTCTCCTTCCCTCTACATTGAGTCAAACTCCAAGTCCCTTTGCTCCACCCATTTTCCTTTGTCCCCACTGCTGCTACCCTGCTCCTCTCTCTGGTCTTCCTACCTCCCCTGGGCTCCTCTTCCTGTCCACACCCCACACCACAGTCAGAAACAACTCTTGAACCCCCAAATCTGATCATATTCCACTAATAGGAGAGGAGGCAAATCCCTAGAGACAGAAAGTAGGTTAGTGGGGGATGGGGATTGACTGCTGATGGGTACGGGGCCTCTTTTGAGGGTGGTGGAAATCCTGTGGAATTAGTGGTGATGGGTGCACAACATGGCAAATATACTATAACCCCCTGAACTGTACACTTTGAAATAGTGGAGTTTATGTTATGTGGATTTTATCTTAATTTTTTTAATTGCAGAGAAAAATCTGATCCTATTGTTCCCTGTTATCCCCATCAAAGGTGTCCCATTCTTCTGAGCACCAACTCAAAGCTTAGTGTGGTCTTGTTGACCTTTGTCACTGGGCTCCTACTTCACTCTCCAGCCTCAGAACCTGTAGCCCCCCGACTGTGGGAACAAAGGAACGAGCCTTGCGCTGGAATGGTAAACAAGTTATAAAAAGCTGCAGACTCAGAGGTGAGAAGGCTGGTTAGCCAGTGATGGGTTAAGATCTCCAGAGGGGGGCAACCTAAGACAGGCACACCACCTAAGTCCAAAAAGAATATTGTTAAGCAGCTGTTTCTCATACATTCTGCCCTGATAAGCTGTAAGGCTCGCCAGTGCCAACACAAACATGATTTACCAAAATATAAAGGGTCTTCTGACCTTGAGCCAGACACTGCCTGTTAACCATTTCCCTTATCATTCTTCTTTACTATATAAGACTATGTAACTTAATAAAGCTTTAGAGTAGCCATCAGCTCTCTCTGCATGCGGTGTGTATGTGTACATGATATTGCGACACCAACAGTACCGTTTCAAGGACGCTTTCCTTGAAAGTTGCAGGCTGGCTCTGACTAAACAGCTTGCACGTCTCCTGGTCTTTGAACTGGTCTTTGAGCTCTTGGTTCGGGTTCCTCCAGAGATAAGAGTTCAAGCGTAAATAGTTGATTTGGGATGTGCTTCCCAAGAAACACTGGAAGGGAAGCCAATGAGAGAAGCACTGTCAAGCCGTTGAAACTGAATCCTCAGGGCAAAGCATATAGCATATCTCACGTTGTGTTAGCCGAGGGCACGAAAGTGGTGGTCTCTGACCCACAGCACCCCATCCATTGTTGGGTGAGAGCAACTTCCAGGGGCATTAACTCTCCACCTGCTTCCAACTTGTCCACGTGACAGAGCTGTTCCACAGTGAGAACAAAGCCCTCAGGCAGAGAGCTGCAGGTGTTCGCCAAAAGTAGCCTTCGGGGAGGGATGAAGGCCACAGGGACATGGGCGGGGCCCCAACGGCGCCTGCTACAGCCCTGTCTCTTCAGCAGTGCTGCCCAACAAAAATATAACACATACCTCACATGTACTTTAAATTTTTCTAATAGCCACATTCGAAGAAAGTACAAAGAAGCAGATGAAATTAATTTTGATAGTATATTTTATAGTAATTTAATTTTGATACTGTCCACCTACTCCAAGATGAAAACTGCCAACCTGCTCACGGTTCTCAGCACCACTGCCAGACCAGAGAGTTTAGACCCACTCACATATCCAAAAAGTTATCAGTCCAATGTGTGATTAATATTTTTAAATTGCTAATGAGATACTTTACATTTCTCTCTCATAGTGAGTCTTTGAAGTCTGGTGTGTAGGTTTTTGGGGGTTTGTTTGTTTTGGGGGGTTAATTAGGTTTATTTATTTAATAAATTAGTAATTAGGTTTATTTATTTAATAAATTAGTAATTAGGTTTATTTATTTATTTTTAATGGAGGTACTGGGGATTGGACCCAGGACCTCAGCGTGCTAGGGATGCACTCTACCACTGAGCTATACCCTCCCCCCTGGTGGGTGTTTCACACTTAAACATCACATCTCAGTTCAGACGAGCCATGTTTCTGGTGCCCAGTTTTGCCACATGGAGGTGGTGGCTACTAGATGGGACTGCACAGCTCTAGAATGTTCTTTCCTCCTGCCTTTGTGAGGCAAATACCTACTCCCACAAGACTCAGCCAGGTCACCTCCTCCAGGAAGCCTTCCTCACTTTCCTGATCTTACCCCACCTCAGAGTGGGGTTCTGGTCTATGCGGCACCCATGCTGAGTCTGCTGTGTTGCCTTCATCACAGTGTATTTTGAGCATTTTCCTTTGTCTCTGTCTCTCGATGGATGGTGAGCGGCCTGGGGACAGGGATGATGCCTGTCCACCCTCAGTGTTGGCACAATGCCAGGCATATTATACTCTTTCTAGAATGAATGGGTGCAGCAAAGTGGTACAGGGGCTCTCTGGCCACTTCTTTTAGCTTTTTGGTTTAGACGCAGAAACTGGAAACTGAACATTCTTTCTCTTCCCAGGCAAGATTCCGTCATGGCTGCAGGGAATCCTGCTCCGCAACGGGCCTGGGATGCACACAGTGGGCGAGACCAGATACAACCACTGGTTCGATGGCCTGGCCCTGCTCCACAGCTTCACAATCAGAGATGGTGAGAGTGCCCTGTTGGTTTGGTTCAGGTGCCGTAACAAGTGATCAGCTTAAAACAACACATACATATTCTTTTTTTTTTAACACACACATATTCTTTATAGTTCTCCAAGTCAGAAGTCTAACATGGGGTTCCCTGGACTAAAATCAAGGTGTCGGCTGGGCTGTATTCCTTCTGGAGGTTCCAGGGAGAGAATCCATTTCCCTGCTCCTGCTCACCAGGCAAGAGAGAGCCGTGTCCATCATGTCCCTGAGTGGACACTGAGCATAGGGAGTAAGTAGGATGTGCCACCACTAAGGTGAAATTCCGAGTTCAGGCGACTGACTCAGGAGGTGGCTTGTATACTCTCTGCTATTCGCCATCCTTTATGGGATGGTGAGTCAGGTGTAAGCACAAGAGGAGGCACAGAGAGGCTGGGGAAATGAAGGTCATTACACCCACAGGTGCTGGAGACAGGAGGCGGGGCACGCAGGCCACGTGGGAAAGACACCAGGGTGGCAGAAGACAGGAGGGAGTGAACTCTTAGACTGCGGCCTTTATTGGGGTTTCTGAGCGCAAGACAGGACAGGGTGGACAGCCTAAGCCTGGCTAGTTTGAATGATTTTGGTGGGCTTTGGGCAATGGGGATGGTCCCTCATTGCCCAGTGCTTGGCCCTGGGATGATTAAAGCAGAGAGATATTGCCCCCTGGGGACTACAGACAGGATGGAGGAGGGAAGGCTCTGGATTGGTTAGTTTGCATATCAAAGACGTGCTGGGTCCTTTGCTACCTCTAAGAATTGCATGGTACAGGGAGGGAGAGTCTCTCCCCAGCCAAAGATTCTTAAAGATGTGAAAACACCATAATACACAGAAAGTAATAAATAGATATGAGAAAGCAGCATGAAAGACTCAGTTCCATTCATAATCTGGAACCGTCTGGAAAATGGGAGGCCCAGGGAGTGTAGCCAGTTACTCGCCTTCCCCTGCTTGTCCTGCTCCTGAACTTGGACATGAATGAGGGCGTGTGCCCACTCGGCTTTGTGAAGATCAGGCACCACTCTCTGGCCTAGGTAGAGGCCCCAGGGTGCAGGGTCCCTATTGACATTGTTGTGTCTGCATCACTTAGCAGGAGGCCAGGCCCAGGAGGCACTCGGGAGCTCCATGGAGCTGACATGGCATGAACAAGGTGATGATGTTCTGGTAGAAGGAGGCAGGGTTCCTGGTCTGTGTCTTCAGTACTCACTGTCGGAAGTGCTTGCTGGCCCCTGGCCTGTGCTTCACGCCCAGCTGCACCTCAGCCCTCACTACAGCTCCTGAGGAAGGTGGCACTGTCACTGTCTCATTTTACAAGTGGGCGTCTAAGGCCCAGAGAGGCCAAAGAACTTGCCCAAATGTACATAGCCAAGACATGGTGGTAGTCAGATATAAACCCGATGCTCTTTTTTTATATAAACTTTAATTTATTAATTTGTTATCTTTTGGAAAGGAGGTAATTAAGTTTGTTTGTTTATTTATTGTAATAGAGGTACTGGGAATTGAACCCAGGACCTTTGCATGCTAAGCATGAACTCTTACCACTTAGCTATACCCTCCCCTGCTCCACCCCCGTGCTCTTTAAATGCAGAATCCTAAGTCCTCACTATTATGCAATTCTGTCACCGTTCCCACTCCTGCCAGCTACCATCTCTCCCCAGCTCTCCAGCCCAGTCCTCTCCAGGCAGCCAGATTGCCAGTGTCCATGTAGCACAGTCTGGCCTCATCACTTCTCTCCTCTAGAACTCTCAATGGCTCCCCAGTGTCTCACTGTGGAAATATAAACCAAAAATGTTAAATATTACTATACATAGTTCAAGAGGACAGGACAGAGTAATCAGGGTTCTCTGATTTGTAGGTAACACAAAGCCAGTATTTCTCAAAAGGTGGTTTGTGGGCCTCCTGCATCAGAGTCCCCCAGCGATGCTAGTTTAAGCTGTGAATCCTGAGACCTCACCCAGGCCTCAAGTGAATCATCATCCTGAAGGGTAGGAATAGAGCAGCTGTGTTTCCCAGATGACTTCGAGCACCCTGAGGGCGTGGGGCTCAGGCCTCTGGGATCTTTTAAAAGCACCAGGAGGATCTAGGGTGCAACCAGCATGGAGAATGGAAATTAGTGCCAGACAAGGAAGAAAGGCCTGGAGTAGGAAAGCAAAAGACAGAATATGGTTTGTGACCTTCAGCAAAGGCCAGCAGAGCATAATTCTTAAAAAACTAACAAAGATTTGAATGAAAAAAGGCACAGTGGAGATGGGGAAGCCAGGAGAAGGGTATATAGGAGCACTCTTTTCTGTTAAGTCTAAAATTCTTTCAAAATTGAAAGTTTTTGTAAAGCAGGTATGGCAGTGAGTCGATCCAGTTCTCCCTCAGCAATAGGTCTGATAGCTTTCCAATAAGAGCAAAGTCGTTGTCCCATGAGGATTCCAATGTGTGGGTTCCAAGAGCCAGGGTCGCAGAGATGTAGAGGCAAAAAGAGCTTTTGAGAAAGTAGCCTTTCCAAAGCTGACTATTTTTTTTCAGTTGTTATAGCTCCATGGCAGCCTTCTGAAAGTTTGCTTTTTAGAAAAATTTTAATTAAAAAATTAATTTTATTTTTAAAATAACCAAACCACCCCCACCAGACCATCACACTGGACCCAGTTCTGGAAGATCCCAGACGGACACGTTTGTTTACTTGTGTCTCTTTAGAAGGAATGTGGCTGATTGGGCTCCAGAGAGCAGGAGGGGAGGGTGGGGGCAGTGGTGCTGGGGATTGCTCTGTGGCTTGTTTAATCTCAATCTCAGCGTGAGTGTCAGCCTTGAGCAATTCCAGAGACACATTTCCCCGAGGCCCCCTGAGTGCTCCCTGTTCTGGGGCTGGTTGTTTATAGGAAATGGGCCCCTGTCGACAACCACCCTGGTCTGGGTGCTTACATTTCATGTGAACAGAATTCAGCATTTTCAGCAAAGCACCTCAGCCAGTGCCTGTGGGTGGCCACCTCAGAGAGATTGACCAGAGGAGGGCTGGCTGGCTCAAGGGGAGACCAGGGTGGCCCCAGAGCAGGGTCTGTGTAGCACGTGGCTAAAGACCATTGTGTTGGCCTCACCAACCCCCAGGTGAGTCTTCCTGCCTCCAAGACTTTGGCAAATCCAGAATTCTTGCAACCATCACTTATCAAGTGCATGCTGAGAACCAGTGGGCCAAACTCCTTCTGTCATCCCATCACATTTAAAATTGCCAACCCTAGTTGGGGAGGACTCTGTGATCCCCAACTTCGAGTTGAGGAAATGGAGTTTCGGTGAGATACAGGGACTCACCCTAGGTCACACAGCTTAGACGGACTCGCCCAGAGCCAGAGCCTTGCCCGTTCTACCTGCTGTATCTCAAAAGCATATGTTGCTTTTTATTGAGCACCTACTATGTGCTAAGTGATTTCCAGCCCTTAAATGTCACAGCAGCTCTGTGAGGAAAGTATTTTGATCCTCATGTCAGAGCAGAGAAGACTGAGGCTGGCCTCTGACACCAGGTCAGGTGCATGGCTGGTAGATGACAGAGCAAGGACCCATAGCCACGTGGAGATTTGAATCTCCTTGGGGTGGAGATCTGGCCTGTCCTGCTCACCATGATATACTCACATCCTGGCTCCTCCAGGTGTTTAATGAATACTGATGAAATGCATGAACCCAGGGCCCAGTTAACCCCAAAGCTCCCGCTCCTAACCATTCCTGCTGCCCCAGGAACAGAGCTCCCCCTACCAAATATCTCAGAGGTACTTATGTATGGTAGGTCCCCTGAAAAGATGTTTGCCAAGAGGATAGGTGATTACCTGCCCCTCAGGGACACACAGTTTACTTCCTGAAGACTGGCGAAAGCAATGGAAGGTCTTTCATGGTCTCTTCCAATTTTATTGTGATGAGTGTTGGCATTATTGTTATTGTTGCTACTTAAGTGCAGAGGCTGGAGTTATTACCCTCACCTCCTTCGGACATGGGGGTGAAAACTCAATCCTGAGGGCAAAATGAATCGAGGCTGTTAGAAGTCAGGTGGTTCCCCTGCAGGGGGTAGGGTTGGGGGGCAGTGATGGATGAGGTATGAGGGGCTTCCCAGAGGCTGCTCATGTTCTGTTTCTTGATTGGGAAGTAGTTTATTGGGGTAGGTTTAGTTTGTGAAATTCCATCAAACTGTACCATTACGGCAGCACACTTCTACAGATATATTTTTAATGACAAGGATCAGGCAGAACTGTCCATGATGTGTTCACTGCGTCAGGATCTTCCGACTGCTAGCCGTTGAAATCCAGTCTACTATTCACTAGCTGTGTGGCTTAAGGCAAGGTACTTAACCTCTCCGTGCCTCAGTGAACTAGCTGGGAAAGTGCAGGGTCATGAGTGCCCAAGCCCTTTGCATTTCATTTTGTAAGAAATTTGAAACCTTCAGGCATTGTTTATATTTTGTTTTATTTATCTACTAATTAGCAAATGACATTAAGTTGCTTTTTTTCCCCTAAAGAACACATTTCTAGTTAGAATCTTCTCTACACTTCCAATGTTTAGAAGATTAAACCAGATAATACACATAAAGTGCCCTCACAGTGTTTAGAACACACATGCTCAATAAATATTATCACTTAGTTCCATTTTCTTTCCTGAAAATATAAAAAGGCACTGGGCAAGAATTTCTTGGGATGCTTACTCTCCCTGAAGCCCATCATTGTGCCAGTGGATATACAGTGGGTATTTCTCTGATCTCTTTTTTATGGGAATGAAATGTCAGTTTGTCCTGGGCCCGACTCTTTTGCACATTATAATTGTACCAATACTGAAAGCACATGTTAGCTCCGCCTCCCCCATCTGTTGTGGTTCAGTTCTACTCATCCTTGAAGTAGTTCAGTTCACCTCCTCCGTGAAGTCTCTCCTGACCCACCCACATCCAGCTAGCGAGGGCATATGTATCTCTCTCTCCATTTACCTCTTTCTCTCCTTCTCTCTCCCTTCTTCCCTCTCCCTTTTGTCCTCTTTCCTCTTCCTTCCCCCTTCTCTCCCCAGAAGGGACCTGTGAATGTATTACATGTTACTCTGCATGTTAAAAGAGTCTTTGCAGATGTGATTAAGTTTAGGACTTTGAGATGAGGAGATTGTCCTGGATGATTAGGGTGGGCTCAGTGTCACCACAAGGGTTATCATAAGAGAAAGAGGAAGGCAGGAGAGTCAGAGTTAGAAAAGCTGTGACAATGGAATCAGAGGTCAGAGTGATGCAGCCAAGAGCCAAGGAATACAGGCAGCTTCTAGAAGCTAGCAAAGCAAGGAACAGATTCTCCCCTAGAGCCTCCAGGAGGAACTAGCCCTGTTGACACTTTGATTTTTGCCCTGTAAAATCCATTTCAGACGGTGTCTTCCAAAACGGTAAGATAAATTTGCATTGTTTTAAGCCACTACATTTATGATAATTTTTTACAGCAGCCACAGGAAATTAATGTAGATCTAGAACCATCTGGTATGTTTTCAGGTCGGTCTTGACCGACTAGTCAAGAGTGCATGCTTTTCTGGAATGAGCCAGATTCTCTCCAGTGTCAAGATGAATTACACATCAACATGTATACTGACCCCCTACTGTGTGCAAAATTGGTTGTAAGAGTACCCCCTGTTTGCAGTAGATAGCGAATGTTACTACAGAGGATGAATTGTCAACAAAGGGCTCCCAGAACTGAACTGGGCCCTGGGGGAACCCAGCCCAAGTACAGGGCCTTCTGGACCAGTCCTCCAAATCTGGACCTTACCAGGAGGGTTACCAGTGCGGTGGAAGGGATGGTCGATGGCCTGGGTCAGCACCTCTCTGGGTGATGCCGGACTAGGCGATGCAACGTTTCTAAGCCTCAGTTCCCTCACGTAGGATGGAGCTGAGAATGGGAATACCTACCTTGCCTTGTTGTTGAGAGTTTCACTCAGCCTTGCCAAAGTGTGTGTGAGAGTTCACGCCAAGTGCTTGTTGTATCTGGCACACATGTTTGAGGGACAGTCCTAGTGCCCCTCATCAATCCCCAACTCCCCCACCCCCGGTCAAATCCCTAGAGTGGCTGAAATGAGCTTCAGAGCTCCATAAAGATATCACTCTGGGACAATTCTGCTTCTTCTCTTTCAGGTGAAGTCTATTACAGGAGCAAATACCTGAGAAGCGATACTTACAACTCTAACATTGAAGCCAACAGAATTGTGGTGTCAGAATTTGGGACAATGGCCTATCCGGACCCCTGCAAAAACATATTTTCCAAGTAATTGTCCATTTTGAATCTGGTCCTGCTTTCCGATATCGTGGATGGTCAAAACAATCCATGTTTGCTTCTCCAATGGTTGTCTTTAGGGTAGATGTAAAATGTCCCATGACTGGCCTTTGACCACATTTGCTACAAGATTCTTAATCACTGATAGCAAGAGAGGCAAAGAGTATCTGATAGATGATTAGGTATTCTGATACAAGGCTGGCAGGAGAGCATTTTGAAATTACCTATCAAAATTACAAATGCACGTTCCTTTCAGTTCAGAGATATACTTGGCTTGTGTGTGAAAGGACAAACTTATAGGGTTATTCGTGGCTGAATTATTTGTTTTAATGAGGAGCAGAAAACAACTCCAATGTTCATCAGCAGGGGAGTGGTTAAATAAATCACAGCAACACCGTACAAGAAAACACCAGGCAGATATAAAAAGGAATGAAGATGCTCTCTCTGGACCGAATGACAGATTTCCAAGCTACACTGCTAAGTGGGAGGGGGAAGAAAAAAGCAAAGTGTACAAAGAGCATATAATATACTCTGATCTGTGTAAGAAGGCAGGAGGAAATCTAGATTTATTTTTACTTGCATGTGCAGCAACCCTGGAAGGATGTATGAGGGAGGTGGGGAACTGACAAATGAGGGAAAGGGTAGGGGAAGAGTTTCCGTTGTAGACATTTAAAATCATCTGGGTTATGAATGTATTACATTTGCAGCCATTAAATTGTTGGCCAGGGAATGACGCTAGTAGTCAGTATCTCCTTTGAGGTACTCTTGAGACGTAGAAGGGTTGTGAAATGTCTTAGGGGTAGACTGCCCAGACAGGGAAGATTGCTTCTGCTTTTCCAGAGCTGACATCATCTCTCCAGTCCCAGTATCCAGTGCTTGGGCTGGCACACAGCAAGTAGGGAACTCCTATTTGCAAATGGGGGTAGAGCCAAGAAGGAGCAGGAGGGAAGGAATTTAAAACCACAGTCTGTGGGGCATCCTTGCTATTACACTGTTTGCCAGTAGGGGGAACACTAACCAGTACATGGATCCAGGACTTGCGTTCCTCTTGTGAGCTTGCCTTCCTCCTATGAGCTAGCCTTCCAAACAAATGATCAGTTCTTAACTCATAATTAGTTTGCTTTCCTTTAAAAAAAAAACTAGCTAACTAATTTCCTGGACATGTTCGAAGTAACCAGGGTGGACTCATATTCCTGTCCAAAGCAGGGATTAGCTGTTTTGCTAGTTATTGGGGGGGCATTATGGGCATGTGTATGGTTTCTGTATAGCTTGTTAAAATACTTCAGAACAACTCATCAGCTCTTCATGGCTCTGGTGTGAGACCTCTGGATTTGGGGATCCCAGGAGGGCTCATCTGGCAGCCATCGTGTCCCAGCTGACTCCCTGCTTAGCCGATTCAGTGTGGTGGTATCTTTGGGTAGCCTGGTTATCTGAGTCCTCTGAAGTTCTCAAGTGACCCACTGGGACCCAGTACTTTTTCTTCCCTTCACTGAAGTAGGGTGTTTTAAGTGGTAGGAGAACTAAAACCACCTCAAGAACTTCCCAGCTGGGGGGACACAGCCCTTGGCCCCACTGATTTGCTCTCCCCAACAGGGCTTTCTCCTACCTGTCCCATACCATCCCTGACTTCACAGACAACTGCCTGATCAACATCATGAGGTGCGGAGAAGACTTCTTTGCGACCACAGAGACCAACTACATCAGGAAAATCAACCCACAGACCCTGGAAACCCTGGAGAAGGTATCAGCAAATCTACAACCAGCCTCGCTTCCTGGCTCTCAAAAGGGACCCTCTGGGGGAGGCCAGGAAGCCTGCAGGAACTCTCGGAGGAACACTCCTCTGATGCCCGTGGGTCTTGGGCTCCCCCTACTCAGCACTTAGCACTAGATTCTAGGCTTCCTTACGGCAGGGTCTGTGTCTTTTCATCTTCACGTTTGCATTCATTCCTAGGACTCCCGTAACAAAGTGACACAAACTAGGTGGCTTAAAACAGCAGAAATGTATCCCCTCACAGTTCTGGAGGCTGGAAGTCTGAAACCATGGTGTCAGCAGGGCCATGTTCTCTCTCTCAAGTTTCTAAGGAAGGTCCTTCCCTGCCTCTTCCAGTTTCTGCCTGGTTGCTCGTTGGTTTATAGGTGTCTCACTCCAATCTCTTGCAAAGATACAGATCATTGCATGATGACTCACCCTAAACCAGGATGACTTCGTTTTAACTTGATTACTTTTACACAGACCCTATTTCTTAAAAAAGGTATGGGGGTTAGGACTACAACCTCTTGTTGGAAGACTTAATTCAGTCACTAACAGTGTCCATAGCTCAATGGAACTATGACGAATAACTGGGCTGGATGGCCTGGGACTCACGGCAGCCCAGCCTTGTATTGCCCTGAAGAAGGAGACATTAGGCAGACAGCAAGGGTACAAAAATCAATGCCCAAGAAGCTACCTTTTCTGGGCAGAATGAAGTCAACATTTTCATGAAGATCAATAGACCCACTTTCGTTTTCTCCAGCTGGCTTTTCAAAGCCTCGATGTCTTTGCAGTGCATTTTAACGCTCTGTTAGAGGGAGTGCTTTTCTTAGCTGTGAAATTACGTTCAGCTCCTTCTAAGCGAGGTGGCATAGGTCCAACTGATGTACGCTTTCCACAGAGCTGCAGAGAGGAAATACTAGGAGAGAACAGGCATTGCCTGACTTTTGGCCAGAGGTTGTGCTATTCTGGGGGAGAAAGAGCAGACGGTTGCTCGGCCACCGCATTGTTCTAAGGTTGTGGCCTGTTCGGAGTGGAGGTCATCACTGAGCTCATTAGTCAAGTTTCCTTTTGACCAAATGCCTTTGTAATCTCTCCGTTCCCAGAATAACACTATGAGAGAGGCCACTGTGGAACGTGAAAGGGGAAAATTTAAGTGACTTCACCAGAATGACACAGAGAAATGGCCAAGATCAGCCCTAAGGCTGCCTCTCTTCCCTAATTGTTGCTTGGAGCCCTCTGCAGTGAGGCATCCGGTTTCCACGCTGAGGACTCCAGCAGGGCTAGGCAGCAGAATAGGAACAGCTGTCACAGAAAACACACATACCTGTCCAAGTCCCCTGTGACCTATTTGCCGTGAGAGGCCCTGTAAGGTTATATCAGGTCACGAGGAAACATCTTCTCTAAAGGTGATGTCTGCTTTATTTTCCAATCAGGAGATGTGCAGAAATAACCATCATCTCTCGGAACCTGGAATCAGCCAGCATTTCACAGGATTTCACCCTCTTCCCCTTTTAAAACCAGGTGGCTGTCACGTTTTGCAGGTTGATTATCGTAAATACGTGGCTGTAAATCTGGCAACATCGCATCCTCATTATGATGCAGCTGGAAATGTTCTCAACATAGGCACCTCCATCGTGGACAAGGGGAAGACGAAGTATGTGATCTTTAAGATCCCTGCCATGGTACCAGGTGGGTCATTCTAGGGTACCAAGTGGGTCGTTCTGTTAGTAAAGCCCAAACACCAAGGGCCGCTCCTTTGGAAGAGTTCTGATTTTGGGCAGTAACATAAAACTCAACCTGACACTGGCCTTCATGGATGATTCAGAGGACCATGAACTCACTTTTCTTTCTTGGGAGAAAAGAGATGACACTGGGCTTCCTTTTGGAAGACATGAATCACTTTACTATTCCAACCTCCTTCTCTTTAGATTTCTGTTCATTAATGCATTAATTTACCCACTTTTTCATTAATCATCTACCTGTCAGTCCATTCATTAATCTGTTCATCGTCCATCCATCCATCCTTCCACCTACCCATCCACCTAACCATCCATCCTTCCCTTCATTCATTCATTTTTCAGTTCTCTGACAAACCTTCGTATGCCAGGGCTGTGCTGCCCGCTTTCATCCCATCCCCTGAAGCCGGGCTCCCAGGGCTGTTCAGGGAGCTCAGCCCTGCTGGGATCCACTCCAGATCCCCACCCTGTTCTCCGGGCCTCTGGACCTCCTCCATTTAGGGCCGGAAACCTGGCCCAGAGCCCAGGATGATTGTGATTGCATGTTTCTGACGGGGAGGAGGGTGGGGCTCCTAGCCATTATTTGTCCAGGACCCTCTTGGGAACCACACCCAGGAGACCAGGCCTCCGAGTTTGGCTGCTCAGGGCTCAGGAGACAGTGCATAATGACAAAGGTGCTTGGCCAGACTTCTGGTCTCAGAAGACGGGTTTCCATCTGTGATCCCTGCTGGCCCCTCTCCCCCACAGTTCTATAGAGCCTCCCGAGCAAGTTCCAGGCTCTGCTGGCCGATGTGAGCCCCCAAGGTCAGGGTACAAAGAGTATTCTTATTAAATGGAACTCCCATTAATTAAGCCAATAAAGGGACATACGGTCTGTCTCAGAATCCTAGAATGTCAGAGATGGGGGTGGTCCAGGCATCTGAGTTTGCCACCTCATGTTACAGAGGAGGACCAGGGGCCCCAGGGGGATCAGGTGACGTGCCTGGTCACACAGCTCACAGGAGCCACAACATCAGGAAGCAGGTACCCTCCACACACCTGCTCCAGGCTGGTGGCTTTTCTGGGGTTCACACCTGTCTCCTGCCTCCCAGGCCGGGGTGCTCTTCCTTTCAGTTTGCTTTGTGTTCCATTTGTTTTGTGAGGAAAAGAACTACTCCACAACCCCGCAGCATCCCTCCCACCAGCCAGCTGTTTACAGGGTGTGCAGGTGGCCACAAGAAAGGTGGGGACGCTTGCAGGTAACTCATTATAACCCAGCCCCGGGCCTGGGTGGGGAGGCCTTTTGGCCAGCAGATGACTCATACTTGCAGGGGAATAAGAAAGCTGAACAGTCCTCAGCACCTTCCTGTTTGGGCGCTGGGCAAGGTACTTGGACTCCTGCGGTATTTCCTTCAGTCTGTCCCTTGCCTCTGAGGGGGAGAACTCCTAATGACAGAGGAGATAGCTAGGCTCAGGGGCTGTGTCGTCTTGGCTTCACCCTGTGCTTTTGGCCATAATGATGGACCGTCCCACCAAGCCTTAGTTTCCCATCTGCAAAATGGGAATGGTACAGCCAACCTTGACTGTCACCATAGGCACTTAGGCCAATTTCCAGGTATTTCAGAACAGGCAGTGCCAAGAGAAACTCATGGAAACCCTGTGAAATACGTGTCACATGATGGTTCTCAGCAAAGTATCAAAGCTTAAGCCTGGGAAGCTGGCCTGTCACCCAGGAGCTGGACGGAAATGCAGAGCCTCAGGCCCCGGCCCCACAGGCTGAGTCAGACTCCACATTTTGTCGTGACCTCCAGATAATCTGTACATGGGAAAGTTTAAGGAGCATTGCTCCAAGCAGGAGTTGGCAAACATCTTCTGTAAAGGGCCCCAGAATAAATATTTGAGGTTTTGCTGGCTGTATTGTCTGTGTTTCATCTGCTTAACAATGAATCTCAAAAGCAAAGCAGGCATGGGCCCTGCAGAAAGGAGGCAGTGTGGCCAAGTTCCAGATGAACCTTTTTTTATAAAAGCAGGCAGAAGCTGGGTTAGCTCCAAGCCAGAGTGGCAGATGCCTGGCCCAGAGACCTAGTGGTCCCGAGGCCCAGAGGCCCAGTGATGTGATGGATTCAGATGCCGAACCAGATTTCACAGGAGTGGGCCTGCGTGGGAAGGGCCCTGTCCCTGGGTGGGCTAGGCAGCAGCCCTTGCCCCCATTTGCTTGTCTTCTCAGCGTCCGGGTGGGTTTGAGGGCTCGGCTGCAGGAGACGGTGGCCTTGCTGTTCCGGTCCTGTGCTGTTCCTGAGGCTCACTTCTCTTCAGGGGCTGGGAAGAAGGGCCAGAGGCCCCTGAAGTACACGGAGGTGTTCTGCTCCATCACCGCCCGCTCCCTCCTCTCTCCGAGCTATTACCACAGCTTCGGAATCACAGAGAACTACATCATCTTCCTCGAGCAGCCTTTCAGGATGGATATCCTCAAGATGGCAACTGCCTACATCCGGGGAGTAAGCTGGGCTTCCTGCCTAGCTTTCCACGGGGAGGACAAGGTAAGGCCGGGCCGCAACCCCCTCTCCCCACAGGAGGATGGTCAGGGTGGAGGGATGGAGGCCAGCAGGCAGGAGGCGGCTTAGGGGGGGAGGCAGTGAGCTACCATGCAGTCTCCCCAGAGGCGTTAGCCAACCTTCCAGAGAGTTTTGAAGCCGGGATGATCCTTCAGAGTGGTCTCAAGTTAGGGCAAGGGGCCGGGCCTTTATGACCCCACGTGCATAGGTCAATAGATCAGACTATCCCGAGAAGAGCTTAGGGACATCAGCTGAGGCAGTCCCCACTCCTCAACAATGAAGGGACTGCTGCTCAGGCCTGACTGATGCCTGGGTTTCTCCAGCCTCCACCGTCCATCGCCAAGGCCCTTTCAGCCTCCCTGCAGCCACTGTCGGGAGCCAGGGAGAGGGTGCTGTAGATCATTTAGACATCACATTAGTGATAGAGTGTCCCACCGGATGGTGTAACAGAAACATCTTCACTTTGGGGAAACCTGAGTGGAGTGCTCCAAGCATATGTATGCATGCATGGACGTGTGCAAGTATGTGCACATACGGACCTTCCTGTGTATGTGTTATCTGTGTGTAAACACGTGTATATCAATATATGTGTTCATGTATATGTGTATGTATGTATTTTTTTGCTGTTCTCATTTTTTAAAGGTAATCAAGAAATTCTCACTGTCATCTATTCAAACAGCACACAAGTGTAGAACGTACCCTAGCAGGTCCCCTTCCCACCTCCCTGTCCCCACTCCCCCCTCCCCACCCAGCCCCCTCTCCAAAGGGCACCACAACCATCCGACACCTTTCTCTTTCTGTGCACCAAGTGTGCATCTTCATGCACACAAATATATGTCCTGTTTGTGTCTGGCCACCTCTTTGAGGCCTTTCTTCTCAGGGAGGAGACTGAAGTGTTCAAGGAAACAAAGGGGTTAGGTGAGGTCCCTCCTCTGCTCAGAACCCTTTTGTGATTTCCCATCTTCCTCAGAATAAGATCCAAAGGCTTCACTCACCAGCCTGTGAAGGCCCACACGCCCTCATCCTTCATCCCTGCTCAGGCAGCCGCCTCCGGTATCAAACCCCAGTCAAACATGTTGCTGCCTCAGGGCCTTTGCACTTTCTATCCTGTTCTTCCCCAGATGGCTTCCTCCCTCAGTTAATCTAGGTCTCGCTCTACGCCCCCCATCCCTGAGGTCCTCCTATCACGGACTCTTCCGCCCCCTACCTTCATTTTCTCAGTTTTGCTCATCAGTCATACTTGACATGTTGTATATTTGATTACTGACAGCTGGCCTCAGCCCCACTGCAAAATGAACTCCATAAAAGTCAGGGCTTGGTTTTATTTGTCTCTCCAGCTGCCCCCAAATTGTGTGACATGCTGTAGGCCCTCTACATATATTTGTGGGATGAACAGCTGGGCACGGGGCCAGCAGGCAGCCGGCTGAAGTGGGCTTGTGCTGCAGAACCAGGGTCGTCCCGCTGGCAGGTGCGTCAGGGTCTCCAGTCTGCAGCCCCTGGTCCTGGAGAGTCCCACAGTGAGGAGAGAGCCCCCCCAGGGCAGAGCAGAGCAGAGAGCCCGAGGAAGGACTTTGGAAACCACCATCCCTGAGGCTGATCCAGGACTAGGTTTATGGGAAAGGAAAGCCTCAAAAAGGGAGGAAGAGGCAAGAAGCCAGAGGAAGTGGGGAAAGGACAGCCTGGAGTAGCCCCTCCCTCCTTTCAGGAGGAGGATGGTTGGGCCAGAGCTGCCAAAAACAAGAAAACACCACTTCCCCCTTGGATTAGGCAACTGGGCTGCAGATACAGCTAATTGCCACCCTGAGTGATACCAGCTGTGACACCCAGAGGTGTGTGCAGAGGCCTAATGAGCCAGCACCCACATGGGCTCCTTGACTGACCGGTCACTCAGCACTGCAGCCCTCCAGGGCAGCTGGCTTACTGGGGAGACAGCATCTCAGCAAACCTGAAAACTCAGGCAGCAGCCAAAGGTCAGGAGAGGGGACCCAGGAGCGGTTTCAGGTGCCCTGGCTGTGGATGCAACCTGAGGAGGTTTGAGGGCTAGTACCCGACTGGTTCTCCCCACTTTGGCCATTGCCAGGGAGCTGGCTGGTCGCTGCCCCCTGGAGTCACAGTCAAGTGAAGGTGGGGGAGAAGTGCACTCTCGGGGGCCTCCCCCAGACACTGTCCTGCTGGCGAGGCAGAGGTCCCACCTGCAGAGCTCCCCTCCTCCCTCCGTGCTCCTGAGTGGCTAGCACTCTGGAGGTGAGACAGAGAGGCTGAAAGGGGAGGGGACACTCCAGGGTCATGAGCAAATGGACGGCGGGGCTGGGTCTTGTCCCCTACCGGATGTGATGCCGCAGCGCAGGCCGGCAGAGGGACAGCTGATGCGCGTCTCCTTTCAGACTTACATTCACATCATTGACCAAAGGACCAGGAAGCCCGTGCTGACCAAGTTTTACACGGACCCCATGGTGATCTTTCATCACGTCAATGCCTACGAAGAGGACGGCTGCCTTCTGTTTGACGTCATCGCCTACGGGGACAGCAGCCTTTACCAACTCTTCTACTTGGCCAACCTGAACCAGAACTTCGAGAATAACTCCAGGCTCACCTCCGTCCCCACCCTCAAGAGGTTTGCGGTGCCCCTCCACGTGGACAAGGTAACGGCTCAAGTCCTGGGAGACGTAAGCCCACATAGGAAGTGACTTTGGCCCTAATTTCATTGACATTGAAATCCAAAATGAGCTGTTCTTAAAGAAAGACAGAGAGTGCTTTTATTATTTTTCCAAATGGCATGCATATTCCTGGTAGAAACTTTAGAAAGTATAGATTAAGTAAAAAGAGGGAAAAATCACCATAAACCCATTGTGGATATGTTTGTGTTGCTTCCCAAGTCTCTCTCTGTCCATGGATAGGTAGGTAGACAGACAGAAAGACATACATACACATTAATATATTGATATATAAGTATATAGTATATGCATATCAGTATGTCTCAAAGCCATTAAAAATCATGTACCGTGTGATTTTTTCTCTAAAATTAAGAACTATATAACATATAATAAATATATATAAATATGTATTTCCTAATTTTAGAGGAGAAAATCATACAGTACATAATTTTTCACAACTTTAATGAAATATAATTCACATACCGTACTATTCACCCATTTTCACTCAAAGGGTGTAATTCAGTGGCTTAGTGTATTCATTCACAGAGTTGTACAAGCATCAGCACAATTGATTTTAAAACATTTTCCTTTCCCCCAAAAGAAACCTTGTACCCTTTAGCCATCAGTCCCCCACCAACCCCTTCATCCCCCAGCCCCAGGGAACCACTGATCTACTTTCTATCTCTGAGGATCTGCTGTTTCTAAACTTTTCATGCAAGTGGAATCATACAAGATACACTCTTTTGTGGCTGGCTTCTTTCTCTTAGCATGTTTTCAGAGTTCATTAGTGTTGTAGCGAGTATCAGTACCTCATTTCTTTTTCGTGGCTAAATAGGTACGTACTGTTGTGTGTACTGCTCTTTCTACCTATTTGTATATCTAAACATCGCTCCATGGCATCAAATACTCTTCTGTGACATCATTTTAAACATATTCCTGGCAGTCCGTGGTGGGGATTCATCACCACTTGCTTCCCCAGTTCCCGGATGCTGAACAACCTGGTTCTTACGTGAAAAACGACCACTAGGCCAGACATTACCCTCAATTAGGGTGATGCTGCCAAGGCTCTGGGCATGGTTTTGGAGGCTACAGAGGCTTCTGGCTCCAGAACTCACTGACTTCATGACTTAATTAATTTAAACGAAACCAAATTCAATTCAATTCAGTTTTGATGGCTCATCTTTACGGAATTCTCTCACGTGCCAGGTACTTCGCTAAGCATTTTACTTTCCTTACCTCATTTAATGAACAAAACAACCTATGGGAGAGATCCTTATGTCAGCCTCCTTTTATAGATGAAGAAACTGAGGCTCAGAGAGGTTAAGGAATGTGCCCATGGTCAAACAGCCCAATGGCAGAGCCAAGATTTGCTTTAAACCCATCCTTGTAGCTGGTAAAGGGTATAACTCTGCTAATCTCCCCAGCAGTCCTAACTCCTGGGAATAACCCCAGACGGGCCACCCTAACCTTTCTCAGGACCACTCTCCCAGCTCCTTGATTCAGGAGTTCAGGTACCTCCCAACCAGCAGGCCGGGGACCTGCATTTGAACCCAACTTTGTCCATCTCCAGAGTTGGATCCTTCTCCCTCTCTCCAGCATTGCCCCATCCACAGTCATCTGTGTGTCTCTGTCTTGATTTTCACCCTATTTCCTATCACCTCTAACATTTACAAAATCTTGTTTTCTTGTAAATTAACTCACTCTTTCCTTAAGTCATTTGAAAGCAAACAAATCACAACCTCATGTGAAGCCAGCAGAGTGTGTGAGCTTGAAGCCCTGGAGATAAAGCACAGGTCTTAAACTCTTGCCTGATGCTGTTGCTCTTGCCAAGATCTGGTCTCTCTGGTCAAGAGAACATTGAAAAAGCATTAGGTGTTAAAGACATAGTGGCACCTGAGACTCTCCTTGACCCAGTGAGAATGATTGGAAGAGAACAGGGGATTAACTTTCTCCCCCTGTGATTCAGGGCTATTGAGTGAACAGACGTGTCCCACAAAATCATCGTCTGAGCCTGGGCCCCTGCGCCCCCTGCTCTGGGGAGTCCCGCGGTGCAGTGCCCTGGAGCGTCTCCTGGTTCCAGGATGCAAGGAGGGTGTCACAGGGCACACAGATGGCAAATCCCGAGACCTGGCCCCTGCCTTACAGAGACCTCAGCCTGAGGGTGATGACAAAAAGGGAGCACTCCCTCCCGCTGCCCACACACCATGAGATTTTATGACCTTTTCTCCAGCTCCAGAAACGGTTTGCTTCCTTGGAGCCAAGCTAAGAAGTTTAGCATGTATATCTTAAAAAGGCACCACATGAGCCACCTGCCGCTTTGAAACCAGCGAGGCAGAGTGAGTGCTGGGAGGGACAGCTCTGGCCACGCTTTTTAATTGCTATTTATTGTCCCTTAAAAACATCTCCTTGCTTCACTTTCAAGTTGCCCCACCTGCCTGTTGAGATGGGAAAGTCGAGCAGGCGGACACGGCCTATGTGTCCAGATCCGGTGGCTCCAATTCCACCCCATCCAAAGGCTCATTAGGGAAGGGACTTGGGCGATGCCGCCCTTTCTCAAATGCCCTTCATTCTGAGGCCTTGGCACATAGCTTTCTCTCTGCCTGCAACCCTGTTCTCTTCCCGCTAGACTTTCACACCTGTCCCAGCTGTGCAGGTTGGATTCATCTGGGGCCTCTGAGACCAGCGTAGTGAAGGCAGAACCTCCAGGGAGGGGTACAGGGGTGGCTGTGGCTCAGACACCACCCTCCTGGTGTGAGGGATTCTAATTCCCAGCCAGGGAGCAAATTGCTGTTCATCTTTCTGGTCTGGTCGCAACTCCCTCAACAAGTTTGTATATTCTGATGGCTCCTGCAGCTCTTGGCTCACACTGATCTCAGGTGCAGCGAACTTGTTCAGTCACCTCTTCCAGTGAAAGCTCCCAGCGGGCCGGGACTCTGCGTCTCATTAGCAGTTTATCCCCTGTGCCAATCACAGGGTCCAGCACAGAGAGGGTTCTCACTAAGCCCTTAAATATTTTACATGAATGAATGAAAAAGGTGAAGCAAGGTCTCTCAAAGGGCACAAGGTCTTCCTTTAGCCTTTGGAATATTTTCCATGTGGAGAGTGCCTTCCACATAGAAAGGGCCCTAGTGAAGCATGTTCAGAAGCCAGGGGCCTCCCAGCTGCCCCAGATTCTCTTGTGTTTGGGCCAGTTGGGGTCAAGGGCAGGACGGGCCCATTGGCACCCTCAGCCTGTTTGTATAGGCAGGCGTGGGGGTTGGTGAAGGCAGGGCAGGGCAGGCCGCAAGGGACGTGGGTGGTGCAGACAGTGCCAGCCAGCCGCCATGGTCTCGTCAGGCAGGGCTCCGTGTGCTGCCTCCAGGAATGGGCTGGGGCTGGCATCTTGGGCCTAGAAAGGGTGGCTTCAACTCCCGGCTCAGTAGATTTGGTTTTCACCTTGTCCTCAAATGCAAAAATGAAGACCCAATAATAAGAGAAGCCGCCATTTCTCCCAGAGCTCACGCTGTTCCAGGTCCTATGTTAGGTGCCTTTTCTGTTCTTAGACCCAGAGGGGCCCTTGCTCTGGCCTTGGTACTTTGGGGATCCTGATTTGGCCTTTCTCCAGCAATGTCGCTTCTCCACAGGGTGAGGAGCTCACAGGGCCACAAGGTGCCCACCCAGAGCAGCATCCTCCCGACCCCAACCATGACTGGCTAACTGGGATCCCTGAATTCCCTGCACACATGCCCCTAGCCTGCCTGCCACGCCTGCCTGCCATGCCTGCCTGTCCTCTTAAGGGCAGGATGTGCTGCTGGTGCACCGGCCTCCAGCCCACAAGGTAGGCCAGGGCTGGCTGGGGCCTCTGTGCAGTTGGAAGGCAAGGTTTTAGGTGGGGATCCCGGGCCTACCCTGTTTCTGCCACTCAAGTCTGGCTCAGAAGGCCAAGGAGTCCTGGAATTCTAAACCCACTCTCAAATGCTTTGCATGCTTCTCACCTTATCTGTGTGACAGTCCTCAGAGTTATTTATGGTCCCCACGACTACAGATGAGAAAGATACTAACGTGCCCAATATCACAGAATCATCCGTGGTCTCTGAGCTGGGGTTTGAATGCATGCCTGTCTGGCTCCCAGTTACTAACTATGGTGGGTCTGGCCCAGGACCAGGTGTTTTCATAACCATTATTTAATTTAATCCTAACCACGCTCCTCAGACGCAGGTGTAAGCAATCTCGCTTGTACTGGCCACCTGTCGAAAAGTTACCCATTGCCCCCTGTTTTGCAAATAAGGAAGCAGGCTCAAGTTCACATAGGCTCAGGGAGGTCTGCTCTAGTTCACGTCGAAAGCTGTAGAGTCAGATTTCACACCCAGGGGTGCCTAACTCCAAAGCCAGTGTTTCTCAAGATTACGACTTCTCATGGGAGTTCTCCAGAGTTGAGGGATTTCAAAGCCAGGCCACAGGATTTTGTTGAATTCTGGCTGGAGAGTGATTTTTCCCCCCAAGCTGAGCACACTAGCCACCAAAGGCAGCCAAGTCATGTTCATTATTGCTGTGTGTGGAAAAATTCACAGCTTATGCCTCAACCAGTCTGACCAGTTTCAGGGTGCAGCTAGAAGACATCTCTCTAGAACAACTCCCTGAGAATCAAGCCTGGGACATGCACAAGAGGCCTGTGGCTGTTTCATGACCAGCAGGGCACCAGGCAGGGCCTCTCACAGTTGATGGGGCTGCACGCACAGGTGGAGGCATTCAGAGCTTCAGCTTATAAGATACCCCGTGTGCTGGGCACAGAACAACTTTCTCATGCCCTTTATCTAATTCTTACAGCCACTTACAAGGCACATATTCTGTCCCTTGAGAATTGAAGGAAAAGCTCACAGACTCATGCATTTACTCATTCCTTCAGCAGTTACTTTCCTGGAGCTGACTATGTGCCATGTGCTGGATAAAATCTGGTCACCATCTTCAGAGGGAAGACAGCATAAAAGAAGGAAGCAGCTCCATAAAGGAGATAATTACAGCTTGGGACAGATGCCTTGGAGACACTGCAGACTGAGTTGTCTCAGGATAGGAATGGGCCGGCCTCAGGGCCTTTGCACCTACCTTGCCTGCTACCTGCAGTGCTTTTGCTTTTTGAGCAGAAGAATCACAGTGTAGAAGTCTGGGCCCTGCTTCTGACCAAGGGAAAGCCACTGTCCTTCCTGGGTCTCAGTTTCCTCTTCTGTTCATTGGGATTATACTAAACAAATCTCAAAGAGCCAACTTCTAGGATCAGTGAATTTCCCCTTCTTCCAGTAAAAAACTACTCTTATTCAAGTAGGTTTTTTTTTTAATTATGAAAGCCCATTTTGGAAAATTTGGAAAGTAGAGAAAAGTTTGAATGAAAAGTCAGGCATAACAATAATTCTCCCCCCTGTAACTCCATGAATGCAGGGAGTTGTGGTCTTGTTCCCAGTTTCCTTCCAGGGCCTAACCTGAACTCATCGCCAGTGGTAGTGACAATAATAATAACAACAACAATAACAATAATAATAAAATGACATCAACAACAGCTAACATTTACCTAGCACTTATTGCTAATCAGGCCCTCTTGTAAACCAGCTGCATGGACTGCTTTATTTAATCTGCATGATAACTCAGAGATGTATATACTATCTATACAATGCTTGTGCTCTAACTCGTTATACAGATGGGGAAACTGAACTTCAGAGACGCTCAGTAACTTGTTCAAAGTTCCACAGCGAGTATGTGGGGACACAGAGAGTAGTAGATGCTCAATAAATAACGAATTATGATAAATCCCTCTCCTGCTTACAGTGGTGATGACAAGGTACTGGGCAAAGTTTGATTGACCAAGAGATGCCCTTAATAGATATCTTTCTGCCAAGTAATTTTTATTGTATGTTTGTTTTCTTTTCAACAGTGAGACATTTTTATAGGAGAAAATGCTGAAAATACAATTAAGCGTAGAAAAAGAAATTAAAGTTCCCACACCCCCACCACACGCCACACTGTTACTGTTTGGTATATTTCTCCCAGGTTATTTTGAATGTAATTTCTTTTTTTTTTTTAACATGGTTGATTGAGCTCAAACTATATGCAATTTACTCTGCTGCTTTTTTCACTCAGTATTCCATCATGAGTATTTCTCATTATTATGAACTCTTTATAAACAACCTTTTTGTATATATATATTTTTTATTGAAGTATAGTTAGTTTATAATGTTTTTAATGACGGATGCAGCCTTTTATTTAAATCATCCAGTATTTTAAAAGCAAGACCTTCTAAGTACATTAATTTCACCTGCGAGGGATAAGGCAGCCCAGAGTAGAAGAAAAGATCCGGGAGTTTAGGGGCCCCCCACTTCTACCACCCACCAGCTCTGCCAACTTGGGGGAGTCACTTCCAGGCACCAATCCTCTTTTTTGACTGAGAATACCAATAATGTAACAGCTGCTTCCGGTGATTAACGTGAGGCCAGAGCGGGAGGACAGACACTAAAGCATTTTTTTTTAATGTACACAATAAAGCAAGTTTTTATTTTTCTGGAAAACCATTTCTTTCAGAACGCAGAAGTGGGCTCGAATTTAATCAAACTGCCGTCAACAACAGCAAGAGCCCTGAAGGAAAAAGATGACCAAGTCTACTGCCAGCCGGAGTTGCTTCTCGAAGGTAAAATGCATCCTCTCTCCTGTGTTTAGGGAGGGAAGGGACTGAGTGTCATGAAGATGGAGGCCTCTTTATGCAGTACCTCCTTCCAACTCGGAGGAGTCATGAACAGATGAGGGACCTAGAGGAAGGCTCTCGGGGTGCCCAGTGGGAAGCAACCAGAGACAGTTCTCTTTTCCTTTATCTTCACACCCCTTCTGGGGAGGCACTGGGCAGTGATTGGATGGGAATTTACATGGCTGACCTTTCAAATGCTGCCTTAATGAGCAGGCCCAGCACAGGCAGATTTTCACCCTTGCACATTGAGAAGGCCCTGCAGAACAGGTGCTATCAGCCCCGTTTCACAGAGGAGAAAACTGGGCCTCAGAAAGCCGGAGCTACTCCCAGAAGGTA